ATGAGTCAGTTCCAGGTTTCTGGTGTCCAACACTTCCAAACTCTAAATCAAAAAGAGAAAATTATGAAACAATCTGGCAGTTAGACAAGGACAAACGATATACTGTGTAAAGAATTCAAAAATCAAATGTACACACTAGTTTTTTACTTTCGATGTCAGCTAGTTTTTTTTCTATTTTCTCCCTGAGAGTTTTCAGAACTGGCTCGATCGCACCAGGAGAGCTCAACACAATCCTGCTCAACATTCCCTCAGGGACATGAAAATCCAGCTTTGGAAACACTTTCCTGTCCAGATAGGAAAAACAGGTTTTTGACAAACAAAAAATAGGAAATTTAGGTGGTTTACGGATGGGCTCCACGCTACAGCTGTTTACAGTGAAGGGTCATAGCTGTCTGGGTGCTGGATCAGTGATCAAGGTGAGGCCCAGCAAAGTTTTTGATTCAATCAATCAATCAATTCTCACAGTAGTGGTCAAAATCATTCATATTTTTAAAAATATTTATGAGTCCGTTATGAAACCTAAAGTTTCACTGGTTAATCTTGCCTGTTGAGGAGGTTCCAGTTCCCCATCTTTCCAGCTTTAGAGTTGGAGGAAACCACCAGGCTGTTCAGCTCAACATACTTAGGGAAAAAATGTTTAACCACCTCAGCCATCAATACTGCAGAGTCCAGCAGGAAAACACAATCGTTTCACAGTTAAATAAAAGCAAACTGCAGTGGACATGATGAACAGATACACCTTCACTTAGCTTGTTACAAGCTATGCTAATGCTAAATGTGCTAAGGGCAAATACCTCCATCGCTGAAGTCCCTCCTCAAGTTTCTCTTTGGTCTGGACAGCGGAATCTTGTCCAGCCATAACAGTAAGTTTTCTATTTCATACTCTTGAAGCGGCAACTCCATTTTATAAAAGCAAACGCGTTCACAGACGTTTAAAACGACGCAAACACAAGTTTAAATATTAGCTTAGCATACTAGGAAACAGAGTCGCTGTCGCGTTGCTAGGCAACCGCTTGACCCAGGACGGTAGAGGGTTATATGAGAACGACCCACAAGAAACTTGTGACGAATCTGTTTATTTCTAACAAATTAGAAAACAAAAAACAGCTGATTGAAAAGTGAAACAGAACAATAAAAAATACCTGCTTGATACATGATTACTAATTATTTAATTATTTCTAAAGGAGTATTAAAATATGTAAATTTAAATTAATATGTATCAAGCAGTACCTGTAACAACAAAATAATAAAAAATCATTAAAAAATGTACAAAGTACCAATGTTAAAGCTGCGAAGATGATTTAATAGTGATTGAGCCCACTTCTCGGTGGGAGTAATTCTACCAGAAAGAAAAAAATATTTAAAGATGACTTTTTTAAAGATGATAAGAATCATTAATAAAACAAAATAATGCAACACATCAAGAAACAAATAATACTAGTGTGTAAAACAACCATTAACAGGCCACAAAGCCACCTGTTAAACATATAAAACAGTCTTATGATGAAAAATGTGTAAAAAGAGTCTCTGAAGATGAAAAAATACCTAAGAACAGAGAGAAAATTTGACACAAGACAAAAAAGACTAATTTGATATATAAAAGTGACCCAACAGAGTAATAAAATGACAGAAAACAATTGAGGAAAACAAGTTCCAAAAAATCTAGTAAATACAATCTAAAAATGAATTACTGAGAGTTCCTCTGTTCTTCAGTTGCACAGCTGAGGATCTTTATAAGACAAAAAAAATTCTTTCCCACAGATCAATTTTAATAATTGACCAGTTTCTATTATTTTTTAAAATGCAGTACCACAGACTGAGAGAAGCTAACAGATAATATCATGATAGCAACAACAGTCCTTTAATTCTTGTCATCATACCAGTTTTCTATAGATTTTTATCATGAACATCAACCCTGATTATAGTACATTCCCTGACTACACAATAATCCTAATACCCATGTTTCTGATCATTTGTTTACATCTATAAATAAATGTTGAATAAACTTTGCTGCTATGATCTTTCACAAACCAAACACATTCATATACCTGGACAGATTGTTTACAGTACTCAGATTTTCAGTACTTCAACTAGAATATTCAAGTTCTCTAAAGCAGGAAGTTGTACCTGGATGAGTGCATTCATGTAAACAAGGACATGAAACAAGACAATAAAACATTTAATTTAAAAACAAATCTAATCTCAAAGTAGAAGCAGATCTATTTGTTTTCCTGAAGGCTGACAAACAGGAAGCAGTCGTAACACAGAGAGAAAATTATGGATGGAAAACGTTTTACTGATCCCTTGGTGCGCTCTTAAAAACAGACCAACGTCTCGTGAGAGGATCGTGTTGATTCTTCAACGTGCAGCAGAAACAACGTTCTCTGTTAGAGGATCTGAGTTTGCATCATGGTGAGTCTTTGCTACTGTCATCTTGGCCTGCTGGAGGGCAGCAGGACGACTCTCCCTCCAAGCTGGAATCACAAAGAAATCCTGTTAAGACTCAGTCTGAGTGAGCTTTGTGTTTATCTCACCGTCAGAATCTCAGTCAGCAGGAGTTTATGTGCTGGTTGAGTCACCGGCTGTGAACCGCTGCTTATCCATCACACTGCTATGTTCAGTAAATGCCAACAACCACAATTTTTTTTAAAACACAAAAGCCTTTAATAAGATTCAGGAATGCCTGAATGCCAGTTGCAGCGGCTGGAAACTCTGATTCTGTCTGAAATGATGAAACCTACCAGCTGAGTGTGTGGCGGTGCAGACGGCTTCGGCTTGTTTGGAGGAACCGAAGGTTTCAGCTTCTTAGAGACAAAATGTTCAGAACTCAACCAAACGGCAAAATCAAAGAGCAGTCAGACGTGTGAATGCAAACATGAGTGTTAAGCTGCTTATGATGGTACTCACTGGTTTGGACACTAGCGGTGGCAGCGGTCTGCTGGGGGGGAGGGGCTTATTCTGAAATCATAGCAACATATTTAATACATCCTTATAAACAATAAAGGGTTTAATAAAAACCATCGTAAACATGTACCTTGTTATAAACAGCTGGTGGCTGCATTAGTGTCCTTGTGACCTAAAAATAGAAATAGATTTATAAAAATGTAAACGAAACAAAAAGTTAAATATAAATAAACACAAAACAGGAAGTGAGATTACCTGATGAATCTTTGGTGGCCGAGATGCATCTGAAGCTTTCTCTGGAGGCTTTAAAGGAATAAAACACAATATTATTATTATTGTTACTGTTTATTATCATCATCAGTTCTCACTGGAATTAGCAGCCTGAATCTCAGAAGGTGGTGTGTGTGACTGAAGGACACATGGGGGTTGTCAGTGTGAAGCTCAGCAGCGTCTCAGCGGGCCCACGCTGGCTGCAGCGATCTAAGCCAGCTGCCACAAATGGAAATCTGGTGTCTGATATAGAAGTGATGATGTAAATGTAACACATGCAGTGTGAGTGTATGATGACAGCGTGGTGTAGGGAGACTCACCTCTGGAGCTGCTCTGCAGGGCCTCAGATCTCCGTTCTTTGGTCTGACGGTAGAACACCTCAGAGGTTTACAGGCTTGACGGGCAGATGACTCTAAAAATGTCGGCTGGCTGATGTCTGCCGACCTGAGACCGGGACTGTCTCGCCGAGTGCTCGACTGAAACGCCGGGTTTGACTGTCCTGAGGTCGCTGAAAGGAACCTGTGAAGATACGCGCAGCAGCCTCCATTAAAGATGAAGTTAGATTTAATGGCTTTGAGATGTTTAACAAGCATAAAAGTCAAGAAGCAAAGTGTGTCTGTACCTTTTAGTAGGAGGTCCTTTTCTGATGCAGCACATCAGACTCCCAATGAGCAGAACCAGCAGGATCAGCAGTCCGACCACCAGAGACACAACAAAAACCACAAGTCCTGCTTCTGCAAACACAAAAACAGAGAATGTCAGCGCTCCACCGCGTTCTGGGTTCTGCTCCTCCATGTGGCAGAAAGCATCTCAAACAGATCTAACAGATGGAGATGCTGAAGCTGTCAGTGATGAAGCACCTTCAGTCAGCTCCGACTGCTTCATGTCACAGAAAGGGGGGGCCCAGCCTGGATCGCAGTGGCAGCTACTCTCATGGTTGCAAACCTGTCAGAAGATGTTGGAGTTAGTTTTGTTTCTGAGTCATGAAGAGGTTCTCAAACGTTCACACAGCTTCTCACCCCGTGGTTGTTACATTTGGAGGAGCAGTCGCTTCTTCCAAACGCTTTTATGCTTCTGATGTTTTCACACCTTTGACTGTAGCAGACCTAAGAGACAGAAACATCTGAGCCTCACAGCTCCACGATGCAGGAGGGGTTTCATTGTTCTCACAGCAACAAACTCACCATGTTGTTGCCACACTTGGTGCCAGTAGGAACCATGCCCAGATCTGACGGGAAGTTGTCCTCAGGGCTCATGGTTGCAGCGTTGCAAACGACTCCACTTCCTAGTTTATAAAAGGACTTCTTAGACGTGACTGGAAACTCCCTTCCTCCAGAGCAGAAAAGTGATCCGCAGTACTCATCCCTGCAAACACACGAGACCATAAATAACAGCAAAGACCCAAGTTAGTAATGTTCTGTTGTGTTTTCTAACCGGCTGGAGCATCCTTGGCTCATATGAGTCCTTCTGCAGCCTCCATACAGATAGAAGCAAGCATCTGGAGCCACTTCAGCATCTAAACAGAACAACAACAACACAGTTAGAAATCTCCATGTTTCTGAATGAAAACACAAAGAAATGAAACGGTCGGTCGTGAAGATTTGACCTGGTCCCCAGAGCCTCTTGCAGTGCTCCTGCCGTGAAGGACATCGCCCGTTGTAGCAGTATCCGTTTCCACGGTTGCACGGCAGACCGTTCTGGGCGAAGGCGTCAGGAGGACAGACTGCAGAGAGGCCGGTGCAGAACTCTGTCAGGTCGCAGTCTCCGGCTTTTGGACGGCACATGCTGCCTGTTGGTTTCAGCTGAAGTGTGAGAAACACAGATGGTGATGCACCGACGGCAGAAATACATTCACTCACTCCCAAGCAGCCAGACAGAACAGTCTGTGTCTGGATACACACTTACATTATTAGTATCAGCCTGCCTCTTCTCAGCTAGTGAGTAGTAGACACAGTGAGTAGGACTTACTTGGCAGTTGTGGCAGCACTCTCCTTCTGCACACTCAGCTCCTGCTTTCAGCTGGCAGGTTGTGGCGTTGCAGCAGGGATTCTTGCACTCCTGTAAAACAGAACTGCTGTTTCACTGCTGGCTTTGCAAATGAGCTCCTGGTGAGTGTAGCAGACACGAACCTCCGCAGTGCCACAGTCACACTCCTCTCCAGGCTCTAAGAAGGCGTTTCCACACACGGGGCCCCCGTAGATGCGCTCGGTGGACGGAGAGTCCAGCAGACAGGTGGGGTTGATCTCCTCTAAGAACGAGCTGAGCTGCTGCCGGCTGCAGCTGCTGAACCGTGTGGGATAAACCAATCTAAAGGAGGAGACAGAAACAGATGAGGAAGGAAGCTGCGTCGTTTGTTTAGGTTGAAGAGTTAGAGATGAGGCTGTTCAGGAGCAGGTGGTCTGATGAGCTCACCCAACACTCTCAGCCATGATGCAGCTTTCTTTGGATGGAAAGGAGCCACAGAAGCAGTCTTCAGTATCATGGGTCAAACCCAGGTTGTGACCCATCTCATGAGCGATGGTGGAGGCTACTCCTATTGAGTTGGTGTTATGGTCCTGAGGGCATCAACGAGACACGAGTGAGTCAAACGGATTCATTCATTCCTCTTTTATCACCTTTGTTCTAGTCGGTAAAACTGAGGAACCTCGTTGATCGCTCCGGAGTTAGAGGTGCACATCGCGTTGGTGTTCGCCAATCCGACGGTGGAGCCGGTAAAATCCACACCTCTGAAAGACGAGGGAGGAAAATGTTTAGATTGACTCTGACAGCTGGAACCTGTCAGTGTATTTCATGATGTGATGAAACGGCAGAACCCACGTGATGAACTGAGCGTTGTCGTGTTTGAACCTCGGCAGCAGGCGCTGCTTCCGCCACTCGAGGAAGTGAAGGAGGGTGAGGTCAGGGTCGGCTTTGACATCGATCTGGTCTTTATGGGACCAGATTTCCAGTCCAACCAGCATCACACGAACCCCCAAAGCTCGATACAGCTGGAATAAAAGGAAGGGCTCGTCTATAAAGTGATTGAGAACTAGTTCATTTCTGTGTCTGATTATTAATGTCTGAAAAACACAAAGACGTGACAGAAAACCACCGCTGCTGTTCTCTTCACGTGTCTGAATCTCAAA